AATTTCATACCTTCAAAACAAAATCTTTTTATTAAAAGATTAGTTGCAGATCCTTATTGCTCGAATTGTTTGAATGTAATTGAATCGAATGTACATATTAACAGAGATTGTTTATTAGCTCGTGTAGTGTGGGAGGGGTTAGCAATTCGTTGGCCTTCTCAACATAACTTGACTGATTTTCAACAGTGGTTTGGGCGGCTTTTAAATCATCTTTCAGTTAGTATGAGACCGATTATTTTTGTTGGCATTTGGACACTGGGGCATGCATGTAATTTACAATACAATGAAGGGAAAATGCGAGGATCCAACCATCCCAGTCAAGCTTCATTGCTCAGTGGAGTACACCGTCTCCCCCCATCTAACAAAATAAACTTCGATGCATGTTTTAAACAAGCAAGGAATACATCATGGTCAGTCATTTTAATCTGTGATGTTGCGGGTAACATTATGGGGGTGAGCAGGAGAAAGATGAGTCGGATTACCTTGGCGTTTGCAGCTGAAGCAACGGCGACCATTTACGTCGTAGATCTTGCTGTTGATTTGGGCTTCATAGATGTGGTGATCGAGGAGGATTCGAAAGCTGTGATCTCAAAGTTATCCTCAGAGAATACTGATTACTCTGAGATATGTGCACTAATATGGGAAGCAAAAGGCAAAGCGAGGGAATTATATGCATGTACCTATCGGCATATCCACCGGATGGGTAACAAAGCAGGACACTTGTTTGCAACGATGCATAATCACAATGAAGACGATCGATTCTGAATCGAGGAGGCTCCTCTAGAAGTGGAAGAGCAAGCTGTTGAGGATAGGTGTAGGTTGGAGCCATCGTAAGGTGCTCTCTCTGTCTGGTTGGAATATGAACATGCTCTATTTTGCTCTGTTGGTCTTCGCCACTTGAAGCTTTCATGGGTTTTAGTTGGGATGTGGAGAAGACGATTAGCTGGCTTTTTTTTGTAGCGGTGTTTGTTTTATTTTGTGTGTTTTGCTTAGCTGTATTCTCATTTGGACTTATCGAGATTTGCATTTTGTTTTTTTGTTCTCTTTATTCAATAAAGGGTCGGTTAATGTTTTGATAAAAAAACTATTTAAATTTGATTTATTGATCGATTGATTTAGATTGAATATTACATTGATCTATTATTAAAATAACTCATTAAACTTAATTTATTTTACCCATTACATTAAGATTTAGGGTAAATTATGTGTTTAATATCTAAACTATTAATTTTGGTCCATTTTAGTACCTAAAGTTTTAATTTTTTCAAAATCATACCTAACGTTTAGTTTTTTTTTCATGTTAGTAAGCCCGTTCAAAATTTAATGTTAAGTTTTGAAAAAATCGAAAGTTTAGGAACTAAAACAAACCAAAACTGATAGTTTAGGTACTGAATGCGTTGAGTTTTTAACGGAATGATACTAAAATGAAATAAAAACTAAATGTTAGATATGATTTTGAATTTTTTTTGAAAGTTTTGGTATTAAAATAGATCAAAACTGATAGTTTATATACTAAACGCATTCATTTGAGCACCAGCGTCTGTAGAGGTGTTTGAGCATTCATTGTTAAATGATTTAAAATCTTTAAAATAAATACTATCTTATAATCACCTATGTTTGATAAAAAAATTATTATTTAAGAAACACACCCTTTTATCTTTTTAAAGATTCATTTGTAATCTCTCTAAACTATTAAAAGAATATTAATATAATTTACGGATAATTATTTGATGTATTATTATTGTAATTTTTTCATAAACATAAATGAAGTACAAAAAGTTTAAAAAGCCGATAATATTAAATAAATAAAGCATTCATCGTCACTTTAATTTTTTAAAAAATAATCCATGTTTCATTAAACTTAATGAAAATTCTGAATAGATATTATCTTATAGTAACTCCAGACAATTCCGGTATACTTCTCGCCAAATTAGTTAATGAGAGCAGCCAAATTAAAAGGGCAAAAATTGAAGCCATGGGGTCCCAATGTGTGCAGCATCAATTGGGCATGCAAAAGGGGGGTTGGTCACATGCTTCCCTCTTATCTCCCGCTCATCAAGGAGCTCAACACAATATGTAGGCATAGATTTGTTGGTTTACAGCTCTCCTAATTTTTTTTTAATGATTCTTCCCCTTTATTCTTCTATTTATTTTATTTCTACTTTTCATCTTTTCCACCGGAGTGATTGGAGGGAGCACTCTTCTTATTTTTTTTAGGGTAAATTATGTGTTTGGTACCTAAACTATCAGGTTTAGCCTGTTTAAGTACCTAAACTTTTATTTTTTTTTCAAAACCATTCCTAAAGTTTAGTTTTTATTTCATTTAGTACATTGTTCAAAATTTAACGTTAAGTTTTGAAAAAATTGAAAGTCTAGGTACTAAAACGAGTCATAAGTGATAGTAACGTGTTAAGTTTTTAACAGTGGGTACTAAGATGAAATGAAAACTAAACATTAGGTATGATTATGAAAAAAATTGAAAGTTTAAGTACTAAAATAGATCAAAACTGATAGTTTTGGCACTAAATGCATAATTTATCCTTTTTTATTACTATTATTGCTTGAAAGAATTTTAAGGTTTGAAATATAATCAATCATAAAAAAACAAAAATATTTTCAAATTTTCTAAAATTTCGTTAATATAAATATATCAAACTGAATTGAACATTCTTTCGACTTTTGACCCTTTCATTCTAACCTAGTCTAGTTTTCTCATTGATTTAAGGCTAAGTTAGTGAAATATTATGGTAAAAGTATTAAGAAAATATTGCTTGGGAAAAATTATATAGAGAAATATTTAAATTTTAAAGTTTTTGAATTTTTTTATTTTTGATACCTATAAATTTAATTTCATATACTAATAGTTCAAACATCAACACAATTTAAATGTCTTTCTTAAATTCTATGTTTCATTTATTATGAAATCAATTTTTTTAAAAAAAAATCATTTCAAATTCAATCCCTTCAATTTTAACTTTCTTTCAATATTCAATGGTTCACATGTTGGCCACTTGTCAAAAATTATCCTCATTTACTCATTTTTATAGATATTTACTAATTTCACATGGTAACATTCACCCTATTTCTATAGATATTAATTTAAAACAATACTTGTTCTTTTTTTGGCAAAAGGATAACTTTTGTCCATTTAGTGGATATAATTTATCATTTTCGTCCTTATCGTATTTTCGCATCAATTTAGTCCTCGAAATTGATCAATTACATCATTCTATACCCTGCTCTTAATTTAAAAAACTAAATTATAAATCCTAAACCCAAACCCTAACTCAGGGTTTATAATTTGAGATTTAAAGTTAGGGGTAGGGTATAGAATAATGCAATTAAACAACTTTAAGGCTAAATTGATGCGAAAATATGATAGGGGTGAAAAATGATAAATTGAGTCTACTACAAGAAGAAATGTGACCTTAAACTTTTTTTTTTAAATCATAATATTCTACTAATATAACCTTGATTTAAGGATCAACATACGTAATAAAATATTCGTTTATTTATTTCATTAATGTTTATTTATTTTAAAATGTTTGATGAAAGGGAAGGCTATGTGACATTGGATGCCTAAAGTAGCTTTACGGCCAAGCTGGTGCAATAATCTTACAAGGAAGAATCTTGGTTTTGTCGCAATCTTTATGTGTTTCCCTCATAAGTTAATATATAAGGAAAAAGGAAATAATTTTTTTTCATGGAGTATTATTAATTTTAGAAAGGGGAATACGATTTCCTTTTTAGTGGCTATGATTAAGGAGGAAAGGGTATACGATTCAACTATATAACAATAATAGGTGCATTTGTGTCGTAGAGGAATTGTGTTGTTTAGCTAATTCAATTTATAATAAAAATATTTATTCGTTGATTTGGCTGTGACAAGGTTAAAGTCTATTAATGGTCACAGCCGATTGAAGTATGAATTAAATGACTTTAGTAGTAAAAGAATTGTTATTATTTTTTAAGATCTCATATTTGAACAATTAAATTGTCAAGGGTTTGAGTATTCAATATCAAATGATTGAGAATTATTTTTAAACATGTATTATCCTTTACTTATTTCAGATTAATCTAAAAAAAAAAACATGTCAATTTAAACTTGAAGGTGATATGCAGGCAAATCCTCTCTTCACATATATTCTTCTCTTTCTCACATTTCTGAGAAGTCTTCAGAAACGCGTATTGGTTGTCACGACATCTTTGCATATCATTTTCGTACTTCACAATCACGGGTCTTCTGAATGACGTACAGGAAACGTCTTCAGAAAAAAAGACCACAAAGACCTAATCTCAAAAAATTACAACAAATTAACTAACATGACCTCTAACAAGTCTAGATGACTTGCCAGAGTCAAAGTCATTGTCATCTAACTGTACCCACTTAACATACTAATCTACGAATAGTCATTGAGGTGTATTAATGCCACGTATTATTAATTTACTCTTTTTAATATATTTTTTCTTCACTACCTTTGTCGAAACCCTACCTTTGTAGGATGACATGAGCTGTGGTGAAGCTTATGCATATGCATATGTATATGTATATATATATATATATGTATGTATATGCATAACCGGTTGCTTGGAAAATGCCTTGATGCATACAGAATTCGTAGCTAAGAGGAGCAATTACTGCAGCACTTAAAACTCTAATGTAAACTTCTTGGTCCCGAACAAAATTCAAGTTTCCATAAACTAGAAAGTCAATAAATTACTCATCCTCATCAATGCCTCTGGTGCCCAAACCTTTCAGTCCATCAGTTGGGATTTCGACAACAGTTACAAGAGAGTAGTGTTCTTCCTTCGCATTTGACAATAAACGTTATAGAAAACAAAGCTTGCGGACCACAAATAAACACTGAATCCAAACTCAAGTACTAAATGGTGTAGTTAAACCTTTATTTTTTAAGCCATACCATATAATTGGAAGATCATACTCTAGAAACCATATTCAAATTCGTATCAGACTTCAATATCAAACACAGATACCATGTAATTGGAACATCATCCAATGTTATATTATTCGAATTAAATGTTTATATATCCTTCCATGTTAATGATTTCAGAAAAAAGGTTCAAGAAATGCAATCAGAAATACAGCATATAAGAATTTCTTCAGATTACAGTAAAGTGAGAAAGCGTTAAAGAATATAGATCAAACCAGAATATAAGGGGATTCCGGTGACTGTATGTCATTAATTATTAGCAATGATCACCATTTTGTGCTGAACTAGCTACACCCCTGCAAAAACCAATACTCACCTAGGTTATATCAACTTATATTTGGGAACTTATGAAGTGGAAGAGTGAAGGAACTATCGATAGACCTCAATTACCAGCCACAGACAATCAAATGACATCCAGAAAAAGCTAATGTGATAAACATAGTTGATATTCAAACATCTATGGTTACATAGTCATCAAGAGAATTGAAACATTCTTTCTCATGCTTTGAATTTAATAATAATACCTCAAAAATATAAATAAACATCCCTCCATACAATCGAGCCTGGGGTTATCCTTCTTAGAAGACTAGACTTACATAAAATGCTCTTATTTAACATCATAACAAAAGAGGGGATGAAGGTGAAGTTCGTATTTAGTATTAAAATCTAATATCTAGTGGCCACTCATTTAAACAGGCAATGTGGCAGAGAACTTCACAAAAGCATATCCACTAACAGTTCACCTCCGAAAAAAAGACAAGCTCATCTACGAACAGCTACTATTGGATTTTTCAGACGTAACCAACTTAGATGTTAAAACTTTCAAGTTTTCCTTAAATGTATCGTATCCATATGGCAAAGCAAGAAATAAGTTATGCACACTGTATACCCATTACAATCACATAAGGTTATGAAGTAGAAAATCACCTACCACATACAATAATCAGACATAAAACATGCAAATGATAATATAGTGGAGAAAATCATTAAGGTACCACACTACCACCGCATAAGTATAACAGAAACTTAGCTCGGAAAGATGCATTAAGTTTACAAATGATCTCCATGTTCAAATACAGTGGGATGGCATTCTCATAAATGTTATGGCTAAAGAAGTTAAACTTCAAGCATATGCATCGGTCACAGCACAATACCAAAACACCATAAATGCAAGAGGTTAGTAACTTCCTCAAAAAAGGAAAAACAAATTAACGAAAACCTCAGTTAGATGGTAATTCCAAACCACAGACCTGCTGGCTAAATGCAAACTATGCAAGCATTTGCTTTTCCATACTGACAAAAGAAACTTTTTGTTTTTGCTTAAGTTCCTAGCTTATAAACAAACAATTAATTCATTCTATATAAATGCTGCTGACAAAGATGACAATCCAAATGAAATATACTTGATTCATTTAACAGCGTTTAGAAGATCAAATTATCAACCATGAGAAGATTTTCATATCCATGTGTTTCACGTTCATCCGAATGCAAGGATGAAAATATGCAAACCATACACAACTCACAACTCTCTAATAAATAGAAAGTGCAACCAAAGCGAACAAAAATGGCTAGTTTTCAACAATCAAAGACTCTTAAAGTCTTTACCGGGGACAAAGCCCAGAAAACATGAAGATCCGTCTTTCAAGATATACTGTTAGAAAAGCATCAATGTTTCAAAAGAATGTACAAACTAGCTTGTATGCAAACAAATAGAAAAATCCAAGAAAAAATGATTTTATTTAGTGCTGAGCATCATAGCTGAAGACATGAAAAATGCAGAAATCTGCCAGTTATCAATGGGTATATGTCTACACGTAAATTGTAAAAATCTCTAAAAGTAACTGCGATTCAGAGAGAAGGAAATCTAATTTGCCACGGCATCCAAAACAGAGCAGTCAATGAAAATGCTGAGCAATTAAATGTTAAAACATAAATTTCTATTAAAATCCCTTAATCAAACAAAACCCAGAGATTAAATCCGATTCAAAAGCCCCTCAAAATATAATTAATCAAAAAATCAACCAAAGAAAAACCCAATCCTCCCAAAATCCATTATAATCAACCCTATAAATACTCACTTTTTATGCGCCTCCCTCTCTTAGCACCCCAACCTTCAAGCTTAGCCATGGAGCAACCACAGCGAGCAAGAAAAAGCAAAACAGCTCGTCCGTTAGGCGGTGCCATCTTCCTCAACTCGGCCCTCAAACACTCATAATCAGGGTTCCTTCACTCCCACCTTTAAAAAGGCAAATGATCAATCTCCTTTGATCCATTTTTCACAGAATCCTCCGTTTGTACCTGCAAATCGAACTCCAAAGCCTTCTTCAGCCCTTTACATCCGGGCCTATTGCATTTACGAGATCGTGAACCGCAGAAGAACTCGATGGAAACAAGGGTAGTGACAAATAAAAGAGTGTAACCCAAAAGATAGGAAACAAAAGGGATAGATAAGGAGGAACTATGAGTGGAGAGGAGAGGGGAAAGGAGGAGGGAAAGAGAATGGAAGATGTAGGAGAAGTAAGAGGATAGGAGAAAAGTGCCTGAGAAAAGGACTAAAATTAGGAAAAGGAGGTCTCGGGTGGCTGATGGTGAGTGTTTGCAGTGGAGTAGAGGGGAGCGAGAATGGTAGTTTTGGTGGTAGTGATGGTGCCCGGTAAATTTGGTGGCGGCTGTAGCGGTGGCGGTGGATTTTGAAGAAGTGGGCATGATGTGGAAATCTAGCATGTTAAAACTGTAGATTTGTTCCGATGCACTGGAAATTTACAGCTCAGACAATAACTATTTGGTGTAAAATTTATGTGTTGGCGCGCGCGTACTAAAATGTTTTTATTTTGGGTCAACTACACAAATGGTTCCAAGTGTTGTTTTGTTTAGTTTCTTAACTGTTAAAAGTTATAAAATGATCCATTAATTATATGTCACTACTTTGTTGAGTCTTTCAACTATTAAAATTATAGAATAGTCATTCGATCATTCATATGTCTCAAACTCATTATTTTTTTGTTAAATGATTAATAATCGTATGAGCTAGACATTAATTTGCTGACTGGATATGATAAAATCTTATCCCAAAATTTTTTGAGTTGTATAGTTGTTGAGATTCTAAAATCATATTTTACCATATCTCAATCAATAGGTTAACGTGCAGCTCAGACAATCATCAATTTTTTAACGGAAAATGACAAGTTTAAAACATATGAATAGTCGATTGACAATTTTATAACTTTTAATAATTAGGAGATTCAACAAATCAATTTTCTATAGTCGAATGATCATTTTATAATTTTTAATAATCGATAATTTAATAAAATAATACCTTATAATCGAAAAATCATTTATTTTGATATTTAAGGAGACAAACAAAATATATTATTTGCTTTCTTTTTTTACTTTTTCCTTTTTTGTCAAGAAAATATATTCTTTGCTTTATGAAAGGATGAGTTTGGAAGTTCAAATTTGCACGTTAGAGGCTTTTCTTTTCTTTTTCTCTCACGAGGGAAAAATAATTATATAATATAAATTTTGAAATTTAATGTTAACAAATAATACAACAATATCTTTTTTTCATATATCATAAGTGTCGGAATCGTCTTTCGGTTGGGTCTCAGAATTGAGCTTCGACTTGGATTAATTGGATTGGGAGTCGCCACCGATCATTTTTAAAAATATTTAGGTTGATCTGACATCATCTTACCTGATCTGCTTTTTACCATAAACGTGTCGGATTCGGGAGTCGATTACGGTCAATGAATGATTAGCATCCTTGAACCGCCCTTTCGGTACCAATTAATTTGTCGGTTGCCTTTAGTTGCGAAAATAAAAAAATTAAATTAAATTTTAGATTACCCGATTCGAATTGCTTACCTTCGATTGATTGAAATGACTAATGAAAATGAAGAAGAAAAATGTTAGATAAAAAAAATGAATATAGAAAAGGAAAGAGAAAATGTTAGTATAATAATAAAATTAAAGAAAATAGATAAAGATGAATAATAATAAATATTAAAGAAGTAAATAAAATAAGAAGTCAAAAGGGAAAAAATGAAGAAAGGACTAAATTTTAAAAGCAATAAAACAATATGGAGAAAAATGATGATAAAATAAAATAAAATAGAGGATTAAACTGAAACGAATGGGGAAAAATGGGCTGTAAAAGAAAAAAATAAGTTAGGGGGTCAATTCACAAAATATAAAAATATAAGTAGGGATCAAATTGATTAAATTGGAAATTCAGAGGCCACATTACAACTGGTGACTAGATTGAAAAGCGCTTCAAACCATCAGGGACTACGGAGAGAATTTAAGAATCTAGTAATTACAAATGAGTCCCTGGTATATATAATACCCTAATAAGCCTAATTTCACTTCATTTCCAACATTTCCCAGAAACTCTCTCTTCTCAGCCGAGAGAATGCTCTCAAACAACCCTTCCCCGGGCGATATCCGACCACCGTCTGGTGGCCCACTCAGCCGCACAGCCGCCGCTTGCGGCGGCCGAGAAACCCACACTCACCTAGAAGCTTCCTAACGTCACCCCGAAGCCGAATCTGTCCTCAGAACCACCAAAGAGCCACTAGATCGGAGTAAATCTAAGCTAAAAGGTTTTACCTTTTCATCATTATTTCACCGTTTCACGGTGACTGCTGATTTTTCCTTTTGTCTTGCTTGCTGTATATATTTGCTCAGATTTTTCTACTATGGGGCTTCGGCCTTTGATTTTACTTTTTTGTTGTGTATGGTTTCGTTTGTTATCGGTTTCGTCTATGTGGGTAGTGACCGATGGTTCTGTTATTTGTTGTTTCGGCTTTGCGTGTTTTGGTACTGAAATGTTCTCTCTCGATGATGGTTTTTGGTTGTCTCGACCTTGCTGTTGGTTGGCTTTGAATGTTTTCAATTTTTTGTGTTGTTGGTCGTTCTCCCCCCATTGTGCCTGTTCCTTCGTTCTATTTATACAGCCCCGATGGGGACTGTTTTCGATGATATGGGGGTGTTCTCGTATGTTTCGGGCCTCACGTTGTTCTGTTCGTGGTTGGTCGGTCATCCCGGGATGGGTCAGTCCTGGGGATCTCGGCTGGCCGTTCTCCCTTTGACTGTGTAACTTCCCCATGCGACGCTGACTGAGACTGGGAAACCCTAATCTTGGCTATTGGTACGGGCTGGTTCAAGCCCACTTTCGACTGCTATTGGACCTGGAAAACAAATAATAAAATAAAAATAAATAAATAAGAATAAAATAAGTAATAAAGATAATAATAATAAATAAAAGTATTTTTTTTAACTATATAATATAATTTTTAAAAAGTTTTTTTTTTAAAAACTATATATTATATATAACTTTTCAAAAATGTTTTTTAAAACTATATAATTTTCAAATATATTTTTTTAACTATATAATTTTAAAAAATGTTTTTAAAAACTATATAATTTTCAAAAATGTCTTTAAAAATCATATATTATATAAGTTTTCAAAAATGTTTTCAAAAACTATATATTATATAAGTTTTAAAAAAAATGTTTTCAAAAACTATATTTTATGTAAGTTTTCAAAATGATTTTAAAAATTATATATTATAAATTTTCCTAAAATGTTTTAAAAACTATATATTATACAATTTTCAAAAGTATTTTAAAAACCATATATTATATTCATTTTCAAAAGGTTTTTAGATACTATATATTATATATGTATTTTCAAACCGTTTGCGAACTATATAATATATATATATATATAGACATATTCGAATAAAAAAGAATGGATGAAAATTAGTGTCTACAATAAGCTCAGTGACGGATCTAGAAATATTTTCAGACTATGTATAAAATATGTTAATAACATAAATTTTTTAAATGAGACTGCATAAAAATTTTAAATGGGACTGATACTAATAAAATTTCATGGTGAGCAATATTCGTAAAATAATTTATTAATCCAAGAATACTCAAATTTTAGCTTGGACACAATTAATAAAATAAATAACTAATTAAAGAAAATTCAGATTTTAAGGTAAACACTTGTCCACCCTCACTAAGCTGCGGCTCCACCACCGCATAAGCTTAATTAATTTCTTATAACAATTTTCTATCCGGCCTAAATAATTGTTTAAATAAGAGTGTTACATTCAAATAAGAGATGGTTTTTAAAAGGAAATTACAATTAAGAATTTATCGAACATTACAATGCCATTCAAGTTTACATTCAACATATTATAAATTAAACGACTTTGATAATAAATGAATTATTATTATTTTTAAAACCTCAGATTCAAACATCAATAATATTAAGAATATAATATCAAATGCAGAATCGTATCTGGGCCTGAGCAAGAGGGACACCTTTCCAAGGCCCAAAATTTTTATCATGTACTATACTTTCAAAAAATGATTATATATATATATTATGGAGTCCAATTATTTTTAACACTTATTATTAAGAATTTAATTGTTTTTCTTAATGTTTATTATTATGGACTCAAGTTTTCTAATATTTATTATTTTGGGTTTATTCTTATAATTTATATTTTCTAAATTTGTATAAGTGTCTAATTTTTACCAATATTTTTTTTAATATTTGTTAATAAAGGCGCAAATGTTTTCAATACTTATTACTATGGGCCCAATTTTTTTCAATATTTGTTATTAGGGACATACTTTTAAAATTTAATTCTTTTCTAATATTTATTTGTTATTATAAGTACATTTTTAGCATTTTTATTAGAGGTCTACTTTTTTTTAATATTTGCTATTTTAAGCATACTCTTAATTTTTTTTCAATATTTGTTATTAGGAACATAATTTTTTAATACTTGTTATTATGAAGTTGTTTTTAAAATTTATTTTTTTCAACACATTTTATTAGGAACAATTATTTAAATAAGGGTATGTAACCACAACAATGATCGGCATGTCATGATAACGACATCGTCCGAAACCGTAATATCCACAATCATTATATGCTATTAAAAATTCACTACCACGATACTTGCAATGGCCACAATATCATTCGTTATGTTTGCAATAGCGATAAATACAACGCGACCGAAGATACAAATGCAAACTATAATTTAAATCCCTGATTAGAGGCCTAATTTGTTGGTTCGCTCAAAGGCCACCGAAATCTCAGAAACGGGCTTGATCAAATGATTGAAAGTTATCTTTAAACAGATAATATCTTATATTTTATATAGATTAATAAAAAAATTCAACATCTTTCATTAGTCATTTAATAAAACTAATTTCGTTTGGTGTTTAAGAGCTCATTTGTTATCAATGTATGAGCCAAAGATAGGTTAAGTATGGTAATTACTTAGTGATATAAGGAAAAAGTTGGTTCACAATATGTAATTTTTTATTTTGACTAATGGAAGCCTATTTTTAAGGTGATGAGTCCATTTTTATTGATTTCAAGTTATTTGAATCTTTAAAACTAGATGTCTAGTCATTTTTTAAGTCAACTTCGTCTTCAACCTTAAGCTTAAAGAGCTTTAATGGCGACTCTTTCTTTCCTTCATCTTTCTTTGATACTACTCAAGCAATAGCCATCTTTTATGATTAATCATTTATTAACTTATTTTGCTAAAATGGGGGTCAATTTGGAAAATCTTAATGATGCGTTCTTTGAATTTGGGTAAGAGTAGAAGCATAGTTAATTCTAAACGAGTACTTAGATTACCATGAAGCTCGTACGAGGTTGAATTGATGTTTATAATGGATCATTTGAGTTTTAAAAGAAAAAGGAAACCGGGCTAAATTGCATAGTTTGAATATTTTAGTGAAAATAAGGTAAATTATGATAGTTCATGCACATACATTAATTTTCAAATTCATCCTCACGCCCACTATCCAGTTGTACACTTACCACTAATTTCATACCCGTCTACACCCCCTAGTTTGATATGAGAGAAAAAACGATCTTCAATTATAAAAAATTTTATACACTAATATTTGGTTAAATTACAAGTCATAAAAATATTTAACACAATATATATATATATATTTGTTATAACCATTAGTATTCGATCTATTGATCACCTAATCTACATCGAGTACTGCAGAGGTAAGAATAACTCACTCAACCTAGTTTGTACTATTCATAATTATCATGATTTGAACTTCTGATTTTACTCAAAAGATTTAGTACCTCATCCCATTAGATTAATTGGTTGTTGGTATCGAAATCACATGTAAAAAATGTAAAGCAACAATGAAATTTAAAATTTTTAATTTATTATTATAAATGCACCAAACTAACTGACTCTTTTGTCCGTAAACAATTAAGCCTAGTCCTAGTCGTCTCTCTTCACCAAATATTCAAAGCTGAATCCACAATTAATCAATCACTTATCATTAATCCCTTCAAGCTTAATATAATGTTTTATACCTAATGCGAGTATTGCCGTGTAATTTCATATTTAATATTTTTAATAGTATAATTAATTATTTTAAATTTCATGTAATTTAATAATCAACTATTTTAAGCTAATACAGTGAAAACTAAAAGCATATGCTTGGAAAAGATAAAATTAGGATAAACCACACATTTAGCATCCCAACTGTTATTTTTGTTTCGTTTTGATCATTTAATTTTTTTCTTTCAAAATTATACTTAATGTATGCTTTAGTTTTATTTTGGCCACTTGTCATTAAAAAATTTACGTAAAATGATTACTTTTGGCTCAATAGTAGACACAATTTATCATTTTCGCATTTTTCATATTTTCGCATCAATTTAACCCTAGAAGTTGCCCGATTGCATCAATATTAAAAATATTTACTATTGTTTAGGGTTTTAAGTTAGAAACTTAGAATGTTTATGTTTTAGGGTGTAGGGCAATTAAACAACTTTGAGAGCTAAATTGATACGAAAATATGATATTGATGAAAATGATAAATTGGGTTTACTACAGGGATAGAAGTGATCATTTTGCCAAAAATTGACAATTATGCTAAATGTCACCAATAAAGTAATCCACATCATCAATTAAAAAAATTAAAGAATGCAACATCAACAGTTTCATTATATTTTTAACGATAAATGAACAAAATAAAATCAAAATATAACGATAGGTTAAGGAAATAGTGACTAAAATAAAATAAAAATGATAACCGGGATACTTAACGTGTATTTATAAATAAAGAAACATGTATTTGGGCAAAGTAAATGTTAGTTGTTGGAAGGTTCCTTCTTGGACGTAATTACTTGAAAGTAAGAAAAGCACGTTGGCCACTATTTCCCCTTTTTCTTCGCTAATTCCTAATTTATTAATATCGTTGTTTAAGCTTTTATATGGATATGCCGACAGTGTTAGTACAAATAGTTGTAATTTAATAATTTAAACTTATAAGATTAAATTTGAATCTTATCATTGTCACTCTTAATGAACAAATTATAAATTCTTATGTAAATCTAAATTGGATTTTAAATATACTCCGACTCTAAACTAGAAGAATCATTCTGACGTAAACTTTATTGTAACAATAAAAAAACTTCTATATGAATATGATGACTTGTACGTTCTATGCACATTTACGTGTACTCAAATGGTTATACATAGGAAAATATTACTTGATACACAATTAATTCAAAAGCTACAAATAATTCCAATATAATAATTTATATTTTTATAAACCCTTTAATAATTTAAAAATATTACTTATTATCATCTTAAGATTATTTTTTACTAGTAACGTAATATATAAATATATTGGATATAGTGGTAAAGTTAACCTTGCCTTGAATCACATAAAGAACGAATGTTTATATTTTTATTCAAATTCTATTATTTTCACGTGGATTTTAAAGATTTTATGAAAACTTATATATTTATGAAACACTATTCATCCAAATTTGAAAGTTTATTGGTTGAAGTTTATATACTAAGTTGGTTTAAGTGTTGTAACTTGATATCACTTAAGTCGGGTCTCAAGTTCAAGTCCTTGTGTATGCATAAAATTCTTGCCGGGAGACTCACCCACCAAACTCAGGCGTGTGACGTGGATCAGTCCAAATTAATCAAGACGAACTCTTAAAACCGAGAGGAAAAAAGTTTATTGGTTTATCTCGTGGAAGTTTAATCTTTTTCAAATGATGAAAAATGTTAAGCTAAAATTATTACAAAATAACTTATATTATAAATACTTTCAATTATTTAATAATAATAGTTTAATCACCACGATTTCTCTAATGAATGAGGGCTCGTACAATTTTTTTTAAATTAAATGTTCACATGTCTGCAATGTAAATGAGATTTTGTGCAATATTTTAGTATTGTAATAATTCAACACGAATTTACGATTTGTAATAAAGAGACACCTCCAAGTATAAGCATGGTGTTGTAAAAGTCAAAATTGGTGAGAAGGAAGTGGACAAGAAACAAAAAGGAAGCACATGTATCACGAATTTTTTAAAAATTTTATTTAATAAAATTTTTAAGTTAATAACATAACCCTAGAAATTATAACTGTTTAATTTTCTTACAAAGACATTAGGTGAAATTTAACAACTATTTTAAATTTTAAAATCAATATTTTCAGGATGGACTGGAGACGGGTGGGTGCAGCCATCTCTTTGAAATATAAAATTACTATATATGTCCCTAAATGTTCTAACGTCTAATTCAAAATCTAATTAGTATTTAACGAATTATAATCTTACAAAAGTTAGTAATCAATTTATGACTTTTTATAATAAAATGATTTAATTAAAAATATCACTTATGTTTATCGACTTTTTCTAATAGTATGAGGTAATTATAATATTATCTGTCAGGGATAGACACAAGATTTTAGGTTCGAGATAAAATTTTAAGGGAGAACGAATTCATAAAATTTTAGGAGAGGGAGAAAATAGATTTTCAATCGAAAATATAAAAAAATATTTAAAATATATAAAAATTTAAAATTTTTATACCCCTCAATTCATCATCGTTGTATTTATCTAAAATATTTATTAACTATTGACAACACATATATTCTGTAAACACAACTGTTTGAATTTAGGATATATAAAAAAATCATTTAATTATTAAATATTATATATGTGTTGTACTCGGATGATATAAGCATCAATGTATAAAGTAAACATGAAAAAGCGGGTGTAAAGAAGTAACGTCTATATAGTGTGCAGCGGTAGGAATTGCTTTCGCATTTATAATTTGGGGTGTTTTAATTGTTTCTAAATGAGTGTTCGGTGCTTTGCTTAGTAGTTACTTTAACGTGTGACCAAGCACATTCATTATACCTATATATATATTTATTTATAACCTTTCACCCTCAAGCTTCAATTGCTGTCCAGCTATCAGAATGAGTTGGTCTGCTGCAGAAGTTGAAGCTACTGTGATACACATAAGTTCAAGCAACTCTCAGCGAGTAAAGCCATCATTCGAGGCAATGGATTGTTCTGAAGAAAGGAAGAAATCGCTCCGAGCAAGATATATTTATGGCATCATCTTCTTGGTCACCAATCTTACCGCCTGGTTCATTCGTGATTATGGCCAAACCATTTTTCCTCCACTCTACTGTGAGTCTAAACTTTCCCTTCTGCCTCAGTTTATTGTCTCTGTACTGTACCTGTAAAATTTCTTTGTCTGGTTTTGGTATATGCTATTGCTGAAAACAAGGAAAAGACTTGTTGTGACCAGGGTTTTTAATTGTTGTTGTTATCACGGTTATTGCGATTACGGTTTCATATAGCACTTTACCGTTATATAACAGCTGCTATTTCGGTAGTAGACAGCTATTTAATTCCCTAGTTGTGAACATGGATACAAAATGTTAATTTAGTTACATGTTCTATGCTCTACTTCTCCAAATATTTGTTTTTTATGTGGCAAACATTATTTCTATACAGATAAAAGAGCTTGCGGAATCCATGGACATGACTGTTTCCAAACATTGGGAGTTCTCCGAGTTAGTTTAGGATGTTTTGTATCTTTTAACGAGCCTATAATATGTTTGCATTGTTTGAGGATGCTACTTCTTTGGAGGACTAGGCTACCCTTCAAACTTCTAAATGCACTTACAAACCATAATCACCACTAAATGAACCATGTTTTCCTTTTATCTGTATTCATTCCCTGGATTTGTTTTCCTGTCTGTGAATACTGAAGTCCTTGACAGACAGATCAGATATTCTTTTTTCTCATGTTTCTCACTACATTTAGCACAAGAAAATTGTATGAAGCTTGCGGTAAATGGCACTCGGGATGGTGGGGGCTGAAGTGTTCCCTATTGGTCGTATCGATGGTGGTTTCATTCTTCGTTCCTCCGGGTTTTATTCATATGTATGGTATGTTTGCTTTGTGAACCAAATCTAAGAGCTTGAAATGCTATGCTAATGACTATTATGAACAAAACCAGAGCTCAACTTAAACATTTACATCATTATGAGTTATATCAATTACAAACTACAGAAAAGGTATTTCTTTTCCCATTTAACTTTTGGTTTTTCATGGTACCATGAATTCAGGAGTTTATTTTCTCTTCTTGCAGGAGAAGTTGCTCGCATCGGAGCAGGGTATGCTTTATACTTCCCAGTTCCCACCTTTAATTTAACATCTTTTCGTTTCTGAAATCACCCTCAACAGAATTCTTGTGTTTGCATCATGGTGCTCATTGTAATCTAATGTTACAACCATTTAACATTCAATTGACTTGCAGCAAAATATATACCAATCAGAATCAAAGTTTCACAGCAAAACTGGCTGAACTCATTACTTGCATGAAGATTATTGTTTTATTTTCGGTCTCTTGATTAAATATGTAGTTTTGTGCTCATTTGACACAGGGTTTTTCTCCTTCTGCAACTTGTAAGCGTGATCGAGTTTATCAGATGGTGGAATAAATACTGGGCACCTGATGAGCAAAGCAAAAAAAGGTAGTGTTTTTGGAACTTTTCATTTTCTTAAAAATGATGTAATTATTTGCTGACAAATCACTATCTTCTTTTCATTCAGCATCTGCTCCATTGCATTATTTACCTCGACAGTTTTTTACGTTGCTTCCATCTGCGGAATTGTGTCCATGTACTATTTTTATGCCCCTAAAGCATCATGTTCTCTCAACATATTCTTCATTACATGGACTTTTATTCTGGTCATAGTGATGATGGCTATGTCCTTGCATTCAAAGGTATGCTCCTCAAGGAATCAATTTCTTTGATTGCGAGTATTTTCCTGCACTTTTTCTAATGATACAGACAATACAATCTCCGTCGAGAAAGGGGAAGAAATAACTAGCATAGATGTGATCCTTGTCATGTAACAAATATGACAGTGTCTTAACTCATTACCGTGATGTTTTGGCTTTACTTCTTTGTTAATTGTTATAGCATGGATCATCATTGACTACCTACGCTTATATGAATGCGATTCTGTTCACCTGCTGGTTAATCGATTCTTTTCATCTAAAGTGATTTGATACAAAGAGGACAACCATTTCATTCAATGCAGGTTAATCGAGGTCTTTTATCTTCAGGAATTATGGCCGCTTATGTTGTTTTCCTCTGTTGGTCTGCTGTTAGAAGGTTAGGACTTTCTTACCGGGTGCATTGAACTGAGTTTAAGCTCGCGCGTTATTGCAGTTCCTGTTTTTGATGGACATAGGTTCACTTTATCTGCTTCAAGCTTCACATAATATGCATCTCTGTTGAACAAAATTTTGGTCAAGTTTTATGCTATGCATTAATAAGTTGGTCTATAGATGATTTTCCGTGCTTCAATATGACATGGCTGAAGAAATTAACAGAAGAGAAACTGACTCGGGCTTTCACCGTACTGGTTTTCAGTGAACCAGCTGATGACAAATGCAATATACAAAAGGGGAAACATGGACATGGCGATTGGACCACCATCCTTGTAAGAGTGTAGCCAATTCTTGCTCATCATGGTTTCTGCAATTTTAATCCTATATGAAGAAACTGCAAGCAACTTTTGTCTTTATTTGTCACGATCCTCCAACCGGCAAGGTACTCTCATTTCCCTAGGCTGCATCGTGCCGACATCGCCGGTGTTGCTGAAATAGTAGTACCTTGCCAATTGGCGGATGGTGACACCATGATATTTACTTTCTTAGCCGCTTCCTGCTATTATCTTTTCAGTGTTTTAGTCCTTTTACTCATTTACAGGGGTTCCTGATCGCAATAGGTGCCATTGTCATGGCAACCTTTTCAACGGGGATTGATTCAAAATCATTTCAGGTAAATAATTTCACTAAATTAAACATTAAATCCTTGTTTTAATAGCTCTAATGATTTTTCAGTTTAGCAAAGATATGGTGAAACTAGAGGATGATATACGCTATAGCTATGGATTTTTCCACATCATATTCTCCTTGGGTGCCATGTACTTTGCCATGTTGTTCATCAGCTGGAACTTACAAAACTCTGCAACCAAGTGAGTAGATATAATTTAACTGTGAATATCATCCATCTACTTTACTAAAATTGACAAGTTAATCCTTTAAACATAATTTGTTCCTCACACTTCACAATATCAGATGGAGCATTGATGTTGGGTGGGCAAGCACTTGGGTGAAAATCATCAACGAGTGGTTTGCAGCCAGCATCTACAGTATGACAATCCCATGTTTTGCTTTTTAGGGTCTTTGAGAATGGAGAAAAAGGAAAGACATTTATTTTGTTTGTTTTAAATGCAGTGTGGAAGTTGATTGCCCCAGTTGTGAAGCAACCTAAGGTCATTAACAATGAGGACTCGGCGCAGCAGATTAATATTACAAACTCCCCATGATTTTTGTTTTGCACTTCACATTTTCATTGTTTATTTCTTTCATTCTTTCCTCATTTTTTATTGGCTGCCTTGTTGGTAAACTAAATACATAATTAGTCATTCGAGATCTTTCAAGGACCAAACAAGGACAAAGTTAATACTCATTTAGAAAATTCGAACATGACAGATACAAACAAATCTGACTACATCGGTAAACGAATCACAACAGGGGATTAAATTATTGAAAGACAACCTACAATCGTAAATTAAAATCGAGCATGGTGAGGAAAACTATCAACGAATGAAAACCGTGTATCCAAGTTCAATTCGAGGTCCAATGCAGAGAAGTTCAACCGGATAACAATGTTAAGTCGAGTTCTGCATCCTTGTCACACACAATCTTCCAAGTACTTCGCTAATGTATTCGGCAAATATGCCTTATACTATCACCCATTATTTCCTTACCATCCTTTGTAACACTGATAAGTTCAAGCACACTGCTATAAACCATAACGTACAGCATGTAACCTCCAGCACATCGTCTTCGGAGAAGCCTTCCTCGATCGGTTCTGCAGAATTTGATGCTATGATTATGAGTGGAGATGCCTTTGCAACGGAGTTGCAGTTCGACGATGCGGTACTAGACCGTATTGACCGGAAAGTTTTGAAATGTAAATCCGGCAGAGGCACCGGGTGGATGGTGCTTAGGGGTTCCTAAAAATGATACATGTTCAGCGTGGGGGAATGCTGATATCTTGAGGACTAGTCCAGGTGCAAAAAGGCTTGAAAAACGTATTGTTAGATTACTTTCGGATGTTAGGTTTCGGTCCCGGCAATGTGTAGATGAATCATATGAATCAGTTCGAGAGGAGATCTATGAACCTTGAGACCCAGTTTTGTCATTTCTTGAAGCACTCGTTTCGTTCACTATCTATCTACTTACCTATCTATCAATCACATTCTTCTTTGTAAAATTATGGCAGTAAAATGCAATAACTAAACAATCATGAAATCCGACCTTGGTGCCTGTTTCATCACTGTACTTTTAGAGTTGTATCCATTGAACTGCCAATACTAATAAGAAGGCTTAAATTAAAATTAAAAAAAAGTTATTATGAAAGAATAGACTCTCAAAAGTTTTCAGGGCTGTCATCTAATTGTTTCTCATCTTCAATCTCGACCTCCAGGATCTCCTGCAGGTAAGCAAAAACATTTTTGGCTACATTTATTAAACTAAAAAAAACGATATTAGGACTAAGTTTTAGATGGACCGAAAGTAAATAATAATATAGGCTTACAGGGATTCTTTGCTTCAAATAATTGCCGAGCCTGGCAACAACCGTGGAGCGTTTGTGCCAAAATCGACCTTTGAGACTAATCTTCACAAAGGGTCCATCCAATTCTGATAGTTCAACTTGGCCTGAGAGTATTTCCCAGTTTAAAAGTTCAATCCAACAAGTTTATGAGGACCGAAATTGAAAGTCATAACGTGTCTTAAAAACACTCGCCTGTTATGCCAACTGATGTGTCAAAAAGCTGACCAAGCTGCATCGTATGTGCGTGTGAGTATTCATATTTGAACTAAAAGAAAGGGAAAAGAAAACAAGGGACTTGCCTCAACGCGTGCATCAGCCAAGACGAGTTCAATATTTTCTTCAGTCAAATCCAATGGCGGGAGTGGAACTCCACCTGAAGCTGCTGCTTTTACCGGATCAAATGATTTTGATGATATCCGATTCTGTACATTTCTTGCTCTTGCTGATGGTCTTAGTTGCAGTAACTTCGTTTCTGCTGCTCTGTCTCTGCTGGAGATTAGGCCACCAGCACCAGGGAAACTGAAAGCTGCTGCAGATGATGATGATGATGCCATTGTTTTAAATTGGATTGGTAAACTTACCACATCTTCCACGTTAGTTTTTTTTCCTTTTTTTTTTGTTCTTGGTTTCTGGATTTTAGAACCCTCCTGCTGTTTTATGTGAACTTCCAAGTTTGAAAATGGATAAGGGTTCATCGTGGCCATTTCTGGGCCCTTCCTTTTTCTTTTGGGTAAGTAGAAGAGAGAGTGAGTGCAAAGTAAAATATGCATTTGTTATTCAACGTTCACATTCTCGATATTTTAGGTGATATTTGTTTTTATAGAGATAAAAGATATGCAGTCTACGGATTACATCTGTAGATACCTACAGTAAAAGAGGTGGACCAAAAGTCTGTAGTCTGTAAGAAGAAGATTGTTTGTTTTTTAACGTCTGCAGACTGCTAAAATAAACTGAAATATAAATAAATTGATTTTTTAAACTTAAAAGAGTTTTGCAATACTGAGATTTAAATAATTTTAGTTTTACAATACTGAAATTTAAATAATCGATACAAATACAATAATAAATTATTTAAAATAAATTAATCCATATTTTAAAATAAATCAATCCATATTAATAAATTATTTAAAATAAATCAATTCATACAACTACAATAATAAATCAAACTATATTTAAAAATAAATCAATCTATGCTAAAAAATTATTTAAAATAAATCAATCGATACAACTACAATAATAAATCAATCCATATTTTAAAATAAATCAATCTATACAAATAAATTATTTAAAATAAATCAATCCATACTAATAAATTATTTAAAATAAATCAATCCATACTAATAAATTATTTAAAATAAATCAATTTATACAACTACAATAATAATTCAATCCATATTTTAAAATAAATCAATTCATACTAATAAATTATTTAAAATAAATCAATCTATACAACCACAATAATAAATCAATCCATATTTTAAAATAAATCAATCCATACAAATAAATTATTTAAAAATAAATCAATCCATACTAATAAATTATTTAAAATAAATCAATCCATATTTTAAAATAAATCAATCCATATTTTAAAATAAATCAATCCATATTTAAAAATAAATCAATCCAAACTAATAAATTATTTAAAATAAATCAATCTATATTTTAAAATAAATCAATCTATACTAATAAATTATTTAAAATAAATCAATCCATACAACTACAATAATAAATCAATCCATATTTTAAAATAAATCAATACATACTAATAAATTATTTAAAATAAATCAATCCATATTTTAAAATAAATCAATCCATACTAATAAATTATTTAAAATAAATCAATCCATATTTTAAAATAAATCAATCCATACTAATAAATTATTTAAAATAAATCAATCCATACTAATAAATTATTTAAAATAAATTATTTTAAAATAAATCAATCCATATTTTATAATAATTTATTTTAAAATAAATTATTTTATAATAAATTATTTTATAATAAATTATTTTATAATAAATTATTTTAAAATAAATTATTTTAAAATAAATAACCTTATTAAATTATTTAAAATTATTTTAATAAATAACTATATTTTATAATTGTTCTTGAAGAGGTTTGAAGACCTTTGAAGACATAAAACCAAGTCTGCACCAAGAAGAGCTCGCGCAGACGATTGAAGATCTTCTGTCTTCTAAAAAACAAACAGTCTGCGAAGCCTAATGTCTGCGCGTGGTCTGCGCGACGCAGACATAAGTGGTTTGAAGAGCTTGCATAGTAAAAACAAACACCACCATAGTGTTATACCTGGATCTGGCCTAGAATTTTAATATTGTATTGTATTTATAAAAAGATAGTTTTATATTATTTATATGGGTCCAATTATTTCTAATATATATTATTTAAGGTTTAATTTTCTTTAATATTTATTATTTATATTATTTATATGGGTCCAATTATTTCTAATATTTATTATTAAAGGTTTAATTTTCTTTAATATTTATTATTAAAGGTTGAATTTTCTAAAAGGAAAAATTAAAAACAATAATAGAAGAAGACATCGATATGATTGGGAAAATTCCCTCGTTCCCGCAAGAAAACCTTATCGAAAAACAAAACCTATATGGAACCTTTGGAGGAAGACCGCCGGAGGAGAAGACGGAGACCAATTTACAACCAGCTTTAGAAAGAACCAAATATTAGGCGAATCTGAAAGAACAAAGAAATCCAAAGAAAATCAAGAACACAAAGGATGGAAATATCAACGATAGTGTTACAGAAACAGAAGAGATGGATGTCAATAATCTATCAGAGAGAGACATGGCCGAAGCATCCGGCATGAATGAAGTAGAAGAAATTGAAAGCGCAATACAAAAAGAAACAGGAGATAAACCAGAAACAGAGATAAGAGGGAAGGCAACTTACGCAAGCATGGTAGCCAACACATCTAGGGCAAGGAAAACGCTAAATACAGGCTGTGGTATTAATGATGATGAAATTGTGGTATTGGATGAGGACTACGTTATCGACAAATCGGGTGCCTTCCTAACAATCAAATTCTCGGAAAAAGTTCATGATCAAATTGATAAAAACATGAGGAATGTCATCATCGTTCGGCTGTTAGGACGGATGATATGATACAAAGCCCTGCTAAATTGGATCCAAGCCCTATGGAAACCAATTGGAGAAATACAACTAATCGACCTAGAAAACAACTATTTCTTAGTCAAATTTGCAGATGAAGATGACTGTACAAAGGTATTAACAGAAGGGCCATGGACAATATATGGAAGCTATTTGACAGTCCAACCGTGGAGTAGATCATTCTCAACTTCTGAAAAACATCCATCACAAGTGATAGTATGGATCAGGTTGCCAGGACTACCTTATAGATACTACACAAAAGCACTTTTTCGACTAATTGCTTCAGTAGTCAGACGAGTAATTAAAGTTGATTATAACACTCAGGCGAGGGAAAGAGGTAAGTTTGCAAGAATCGCGGTTTTAGTAGATCTAAACCAACCACTAATTCCTTGTATTGGAATAGATGGATTCACACAAAAACTAGAGTACGAAGGATTACAACAGATTTGCTTCCATTGTGGGGTTTATGGGCATACAAGAGAGCAATGTGCAGCATATCAAGTACATATAGAATCTAAACGTGAGGAAGAACTTAACGAAAGGAACAAAAACAACTATAACCTTGCAACAACATCAGAAGAAACAATGTTTGGACCATGGATGGTGGTGGAAAATCGTCAAAGAAAAATAACGACGACACAAAAGACTGAGAAAGACAAGGCGAAACAAAAGTCTGAAATAGGGGGCTCTCGTTTCACTATTTTGAGCGAAGAAGAGAATGGTCACATGGCTGAAATAGAAATAAGGACAGATGATAAAAAAGATAATGAGAACAGAATCAGACTAGTAAATGGAGAAACAACAAAAAGGAACCTACCAGATCATCAAACAAGGGGAACAAATCGCAACATGAACAACATGGTACCAAAACAAGCAAAGAAAATGCACGAATCGGACAGCATAAAAAACGTAATAGAAGTAATTCCAATGATAGAAGGACAGAACATGGAAGCAGTGGAACATATAACCACAGCAGGGAACGGAAACCACACAGCCATAACCATAAAAGAACCAAGCATGGGAAAAAAACGCATAGGACTAAATTCCCAAAAGGGGGAGAAGAAGGTGGAAGGATGAGAAAAGAAAACAATGTGAAAAGATTAAAAGTAAAAAAACAAACAACTTTTCGCCCTGCAAATCATAACCTGATCAAAGAATGGGTGCAGACGGTATCTAATAAGCTATCCACAGCCTCGAATGATGAACATATCAACATTGAACCACAAACACTAGTTAATATGCCAATACGCAAAAACATGGTGATAAAGGATCAACAGATAAAGAACAGCAAAGTGAAGGGAGACACAGAGAAGTCCCGGTTAATTACCGGACAACAAGGATCCGAAACCTCACAAATTTAACTAAATGACTAGTTTCATGTTTTGGAATTGCCAAGGAGCTGCAAGCCTGACCTTCAAAAGAATATTTAATCTCTTTGTTAGAGAACACATACCAAATATGGTTGCATTATTCGAAACAAGAACGAGTGGAACAAAAGCAGACAGAATAATCAATAAACTAGGATTCACACAGTCACTTCGAGTAGAAGCACATGGATTTGGAGGTGGAATTTGGATACTTTGGGAAGAAACAATGGAAATTGAGATTACCCATATATCAAATCAATTCATTAATGGTATATTTCGGCATAAGGAAGTAAATACATGGGCACAATTCACAGTAATTTATGCAAACCCAAACGGGTCTAAAAGGAAACATCTATGGAGCCAACTAGTGGCACTAGCACCAAACGATAATACACCTTGGATCCTGGGGGGAGATCTCAACGTGATATTAGACGTAGATGAAAGAAGAGGAGGTGCGACGACACACACAAATGGAAGCTGATTATTCACCAATTTCATGCATTCTACTAGATTATTAGATTTAGGATTCCATGGTCCACCATTTACATGGAATCGTGGGAACCTACAACAAAGACTAGATCGTTGCCTCGGAAACACAAAGTGGATTTCAACATTTCCAAACTCACAGGTACTGCATCTAGATCGAATTGGTTCAGATCATCGACCCCTTCTCCTAAGGCTGACAACAGACAAACAAGATCATAAAAATCGACCATTCTGCTTCATAGCAGCATGGCAGGAACACCATGAGTTTAAAGACTTTATCAAATCTATATGGAAAGAAAACGGGGAACTAAACGAAAATATTAGCACATTCAAAACTGAAGTGGAAAAATGGAACTCAGACGTCTTTGGTCATATAGGAAAAAGGAAAAAAATCTTATTGGCACGACTGAGAGGAATAGACACTCTACAACGAACACACTCAGAATTTCTGGTAGAGTTGGATAAACAATTACGGACAGAACTCGACACTATACTAGACCAGGAGGAGAGTCTGTGGAGACAAAAAGCACGGACAAAATGGATACTGGAAGAGGATCGAAACACTGCATTCTATCATGCCTCAACAATAACAATAAGAAGAGCAAACAAAATCGAAACCTTAA